TATATATATATATATATATATATATATATATATATATATATATATTACTAAAATGCTTTTTTTTCAGAAAATCTGAAACGGGTCAAAAAATGACATATTTTGTTTCTCGGTGACCTTGAAAAGATCCTCATATTCTTTCTGCCTTATTCAAAGTGGGACACAGGTGTTTAAAAAACTTAATAAAATTCAATAGTTTAAAACACGTTATTTGTAATACGATATAGTATGAAATTATAAGCGCTAAAAAAAGTGCGGAGGGAAGCTAATTAAAAGCATTTTTAAGCATTTTTGAGCCAATTTTTAAGTTGTTCAATTATTCGCATTTTTAGTTATCCGGATAAGCTTTGCCCCGGGTAATCGGTGCTTTTCTGTATACTGAAACCCGTGTGGTTCAGTTAAGAATAAAAAATAATGTAAACCATTATTAAAAGTGTTATATCCTTAAATAAATAATAATTATGTAGTTTAAGATGGTAAATTATATTTAATGCTTCTTTTCGCTAATCTCGGCTTTAAATCTGTGAGAAATTCTGTCTGTCACATTAAATTTCAGCAGGTTTGTGCACAGAAACTCTCTGCCTTGGCATATGGTAACTTATTGGCATATTGGAGCCCTGATGCATGATAAATTCAAGTTACTAGATTTTCTTTTTTCGGACACTACTTTAACGTTACGAAGTCTTGCAGAGCAAATTTCGCATAAAGACAATCAGTGAGCTAAAGCTTCTGGTTAGAGCCCCTGAATTAGACTTATCATTTATTTTTTTGATTGATTGATTGATATGAGTGGAATCTCGGTGTTAAGCGCGAAGCGCTTCTAACCGATTCATCTGTACTGTTTTGGCATTTAGTCCAGAGGTCATATACAGTTCAAAGTTCTAAGTTAGGATCAGATAATAAGTCCATGATGAGGTGAGGCATGAGTTAATTCAGTAGTACATCAGTTGTATGGGGAATTCCCCTGGATTAAAGTTGTGAGAAGATGCAGTACGTCTTGGTCCTTCAGCAAGTCTTTAAGTTCACTGATGAGGCTAACAAGTCTGTGGGCTGTAGAAGTAGGCGTGTCCTTGGTCGCTTTTCTCTTTCGACTGGGACGGGCCTCGCACCCAGTGAAATTTGAGGTGTGGTTTTGCATGCAGTTGCAGCATTTAGCTGGGGAGTCTCGGCTCTTTCTGCACTGGAATGAATAGTGCCCTTCGGCACATTTCATGCATCTTGGGCTGGAGGAGCAGGAACGTTGGGTGTGGCCGAAACTCTGACATCGAAAACACAGCAGCGGTATCATTTATTTTTGGAGCAAAGATCTAACATAAGCACAGCGAATAAATATTTTCAAGTGGTAGTTTATTAATTGTAATTCTTGGTATAATAAGTTCGATTTAGTAGATTTTAATCCACCACTATTTCTAAACAATGCGTCGGCTTATATAATTCACCACTTTATACTTATTATTACATGCTCTACATTTTTAAAATCAAGGAAATATTGTCAACTATTTGCAAAATTTACTTTGTAGTTATTTACCGTTTTTTAAATTATTTTGGTGTGTCCGGCGCTGTTGGCATCTCTGTAATAACATAACTAATACTAACATAACGTTAACTTGCTAACTTGTTTGCTCCAATATTGCTTGATAGGTCAGCTCTGAAAGTATAGGAGCCTTACTTCTGTTAACCAGTTTTGTCCCGAATTTGTTTATTGAAATGATACAAAAAGTGACTTTATGGAAAAAGTGGTATAATATATTTTTGAAATTAATTGTTTTTTCTACTGTTAGGGCACTCAAAAAGTCTTTGATTGATCAAAAAGTACTTGCACCTTATAATTCTAGATCTAATCAGAAATAACTAAATCATTGTGGTATCTGGTAATCTTTTAATTCACCCAGATAAATGAAAATGCTGAAAATAGTTTCCCACCACAATGAATGTTTTTGAAAAAAGGAACTGTCCTAAATATATGACGCTGGGCGTTAACCGGTCAAGCTTAAAAAGCGCGTTATTAAAAATAGACACTGATTAAAATGCGTAATTAAGAAAATTGACACAGATCAAAATGCGTGTTTCAGAAAATGGCCACTGCTCAAAAAGCGTGTTTATGAAAAGAGTTACAGCTCAAAAAGCATATTTAAGCAAAAGGAAGATAGAAAAAAAGGTATTTAAAATGGAGAGAGATCAAGAAGCGTGTTTCAGAAAATGGACATAAATCAAAATGGGTGCATAAGATAATGTTCACAGCTCAATAAGCGTAGAAAACGGACACAGATAGAAATGGATGATTCAGAAAATGCACACAGATCATAAAGTATGTTAAATAAAATGGACAGATCCCATGAAGTATGTAAATCAAATGATAGCGGCAAAAAATTACCTTTCCGATGGCTAACTCAAATTTAATAACTGAAAGAACAATTTCGTATTGACTTTTTCCTACTTATTTAAATGCTAAGTGCAATTATTGCGAGTCTCGGACACCAGAGTGACTGGGTTTATGACAATTGTAACTCATCAGATGACTCTCAGAATACTAAACGGAAAATTGGTTTTCAAAAGTCTAAATTATTACAACTTAATTTTAATGCCACTATTTTAAATTTATATAACCCGTGGCAACCGCATAAAAACAGCTGTTGACTATCAAAGTCTGACTATCAGAAACACTAACGTAAAGTAAAGAATGATTAAGGAAACCAAACGATATCAAGTTGCTGACTTATTTGCATTTATTTACAGGCATTTTGAGCCATGTCTAGTGAAAAAACCGAAGAAAAATGGTTTAGATATAGATATTAACGATTTAGATAGTTCAGACTTTGAAATAAAGATATTAGTTAACACAGGAATAGAGAGATTATTAATCCATCATAAAAGGTATTTATACTTTTTATGATAGATATTTAAAGATAAGGTACTTAACGGTATAACAAGTCGAGACCCTTGCGATCCCAGCTTTCGAATAAAGAAAGAATAAGGATTAACCTTCTGGTTGACTTACTTCGATTAACGCAGCTTTTCGATGACCAGTCGAACCTTTGGTTGATGTCGTCGCAATAACAGAATGCACGTCGAAGTCGAGTATTGTATCCGCATTCCGCATCACCGCACAGATTAGGATTGTCGACACACTCTTGGATGATGTCACAGAAATCTCCGCTCGTTCCATATTCACAAGAACAATATTTGTCAACCCCTTCTCTTTCTTCGCAAACAGCACCATTGTGGCATTCTTTATGATTTGTGCATTTCTCTGAAATGCACATAATTAATGAAAAACGCATAATTAGAAACAATTTATACTCAAACATCCAGTGGTTAGCCAAAAATATTTAAGATTTATCTATCCAGAGAGGTGCGACTAAGAATTCAAAAGGTGGTGACTAATAAAGTTCAAACATTATTAAAAAGAGATTGAACATAGAAACTCATAAGTAGTAGTCGGCAAACTACTAAAAATTTGCTACTAAAAGTTTTAGTAGTAGTAGTTGGCAATCTACTATCTTCTAAAGTATCTATGTTTGGGCTGCATTGTAGTTGCAAACTAGTATGCATAGTAGTTGGCAAACTACTGTGCTTGGATTGTAATGGTTCAGAAGATAGAACACTCGCCTCCCAATGAGCTTTTGGCTCCTAATTATTCGCCAAAAATATTTAATATTAATATATCAAGGGTAATCAGGGACGATCAAGAATCCAGAAAGTGGTGAGTAATAAAATTCCAAAATTTATTAAAAAAGATTGAAAATAGCAACTTTTTAGGGTCCCGATTCAACTGAAATTCTACAAAAAACAAAATTTCAACTGCTGCGTCTGTTCAACCTGCAAAAAGAATACCCTCATGCTTATACTATCTTCTAAAATTTTGAGCAAACTGCTTCTTTACTGTTATTTTTATTATTTACTAACGCAAAACATCCACACTGTTTCTTATAAGAAGTCCGATCAGAACATTATGAACTACTATGAGGGCAACTTAGCGTTGACCTTGGTCTAAAATTGGGTACGAAAATGCCTTTTAATAAAAAGAAATTAGTCAAAATAAGAAAGTGGTAGCAAATGTATGTCCAAAAATTAGTTTAGTTTATGAATATGATTGGTTTGTCTAATTCACTTATCAACCACTATCGATTCAATTCTCAAATATATAGATAAATTCACCTCTAGGTCAAAGGGAACACATCTCATTAAATTGCTTTTTTTAATCCATTGACCCTTTAATGACCAAGGGCTGCAAACTGTCTGAACTTTTTGAGAAAACTTTTTCTAGTGGTAGCTAAGTTTATGTTTTTTTTCTTCTATTTTACAGCATGTATTGAATATCTGACCCAATTTGGAGTTTACGACCATAAATGCGTATCTCCGTATCCTTCTCAT